CAGTCCATTAAGTATCTGTTTATTAACATTTCGTGAAACCAATCCGGGAGCATAACCTAGATATCGCTTCAATTAACTCTAGTTGATTTCTTCTGCGAATCTGTTTCCTTTTCCCCTCTCTTTTCCTCTCCGAGGAGGTTAGGTTGGGAAACAAACCACGGCACCCTCTTGTGTGCAGTCATGCAGCCGCTTCGGGGATTTTTTTCAGTGGTTCTCAAAACTTGAGTTTTCGTGCTCCAGGCAATACTCCCGATGTTGATCGTTGCAAAAATCGCAGATAAAAAATTCAAAGTTCTCGTTTAAGGTCGTTCCTTAAATTGTTCCTTCCCTTATACAGCTACTCGCGGTGAAAAGGATATATTTGAACGTCATTTTGACTTTCTTGGCGGTGTGCGCTTAAGTGGAGGCTCAAAGTACACAACTTTGAATTCACTATCCGCGAATCGGTATTGCTCAAAAAAATCTAAAAATTTCATGTTAACTCAGTGCACTGCTTTTTAAATATGCGAGAATTAAAAATCACAGAGGCGGATCCATCAATTTGGCAACATCGGATTTCCTCCATTTAAACCTATGTTGAATAATCGATTCTTGTCGCAGCACCTGGCCCCTCCAAGAATCGATATATTTCTATAGGTTTGAATAGGGGAAAAAACAATGTTGCAAATTTCCTGGATCCGCCAATAAAATCACCCACGGTAAGAGATTTTTTTTTTTTTTTTTTTTTTTTTTTTTTTTTTTTTTTTTTTTTTTTNGAGTCATTAATACAAATGTAGGAGGAGTATAGGACAGTATATACAGTATAGTATACAGCATATACAGAGTAAAGGACTCAAATAAGCGCATCTATGTGTTTAGAGGAGGGCTCTTTTCTTAAAATGATTGATTCCTTGTCACTTTAACACCTTTGCGCCGCGACGGTTAGTTTGAGCATCACTGAGAAAAAATTCTCGGCGTTTTTACCAAGGTCCGTTGATACCTTTACCATCTCACTTTTTTTTACCAATTATTGGTAATTTTACCAAGACAAACTGGTAAGCTTACCTAAAAACCGGTATTTTTACTGTTTTTTCAGGTAAGAATACCACTTTTATTGGTAATCAATTCCCGGTAACTTTGCCATTTTATCTCGGTAATTCTACCACAGTCGATAAAAAATATTGGCGTTTTTACCAAGATCCAGTAAAATTACCGAGAAAGTTCAATATTTTTACCGAGATTTCTCGGTAAAATTACCAATTCCATAAATGGTAATTTTACCAAGAAAAAACTGGGATCAAATAGAACCCTGGATTCTTGGTAATTTTACCCTTTTCTCAGTAAATACACCGAGATTTGTTTTCAGTGTGTTTGGAACCACTTACGTTGCTCTGAACGAGGAGCACGCTCGCGGAGTCGAGGTGGTTGCCTACCCACTGCGGGTGCAGGCGCGAGCTCGGAGAGAAAAAAATCTTCCCGTGAAATCTTAGCCTCTTATTAAAAATGGAAAATATAATTGTGTCAACGAAGCAGCTTCGATAATTGGCGCGTATTTTCCTCTCTGAGGAGGTGAGCCTCTCGCTCCTCGCGCCCTTTCCACGTCGCGTCGCATGAAAGCAAAGCGGAGGCAATGCGACTCATTCACATGCGCTGTTTATGCTTGACGGGGGATTGTGTTGATAATTACAAATTACGGGCTGAGGAACAGATTAAGTGCAATGCTCGCAAAGACGAGCTTCAACCGCATCTCGACCCCCCGGGGCCCACGGCCTCCGCGCTGCTTGAAAGACGCGGAGTAAACTCAAGGGGGGCGCTTATTGGCGCCCCCCCCCCCCCCACTATAGCGAATTCGTCTGCGTTTCCAATGTGCGCTTCAATTATTAACCATACTTACGATCCGACGTGGGGAATATTTTTCAGCACCTGCAATTACAATCCTTCATACTTTCCTATTGAAGGAATGAAAATCAGAACTGTGATGTTGTATACATTCGATGAATTATACAAGAAAATCAGTGCTCCCATTTCCCGAACTACTTTCGAATTCCGGAACATTTGAGATTTTCCCAAGTTTTCCCCGGAATTTTTGAAAATCCTGAAATGTTCCGGATCTTTTGCATTTTTTAGAAATTTCTCGGGACTTTTGAAAAAATCCTAAAGGAATCCCGGAATTTTCGACGGTCACGGAGTGGGAGAAATTGGGGGGGGGGGATTTCCGAATCCCAGAACTTTTGACGGACATGGAATGGGAGCATTCAGGGCCGGATTTAGGGGGTTGCCACATGGGCCGCAACCCATGGCGGCAAAATGTAGGGGGCGGCAAATTTTGCAATCTTTTTGGATGTGGGTATGCAAATTTTGCAATCTTTTTGGATGTAGGTATCAAAAAAAGAGAGAAAACAAATCGGATTCATAAAATAAATAAAAAAAAAAGGCGAAAAAAAAGAGTAATTTCTAATTTTGTCGTCTTTCGGTGATACAAGAGACAACACCTCTAATTAATCGAGTTCAGAGAGAAACCATATACGCAGTTTGACCTGGAACGGAGCGGCGCGGCGGTCGGCATGAAACGCATGGCGCCTACAAGACTGCGTGAAGACTTCACGCATTGCGGCAAACACACTGCGGTCAGCAGCAGTCAGCTTGAAACGCATAGCGCCTACAAGACTGCATGAATACTTTACGCATTGCGCCAACACAGTGCGGTCGGCGCAGCGGCGGTGGAAGTTAAAATTATTAACCACATTTATGTTTGTTCTTTCATAATTTTTTCGTTCGTTTTTATAAATGGAAGGCCTTGTCCAAACAGGGATGGGTTTATGGAACTGAACTTTTGTTAATGTTGACAGGGCGTTCACAAAAAATGTGCCCAACGCGAGTAAACGCGTCTCATACACCGGCCGGTGTATGAGTATGCATCCCCCACCGGCACGTTCACTTGATGGTTTTTATAGATCGTATTCGACAGATCACACAGGTGAGATTGTATTGATATCGATTGGTTCAATATGTAACCACAGACTCAAAAGTCAATTCAGAAATCTGAGGTAACGGATCTTATGTGATCGAATCTTTGTTCTCTCGAGTACTGTAGCTTCGACAATTAATTCTCTGCAAAATATTGAAAATTCGTGAGCTCTTCGTCCTAAATATACAAAATTTTGTGAACTGTCAGAAATTGACTATATGCCCTGGCATTTAATAAAATGCCTGATTTGACTAATTGCCTGCGACAGATATAAACTTATCATGGGGTCATTAACTCAGGAACTACACGAGTAAAGAGCATAAATCGCATGGGGTAGCGGGACGGGTAGCCCGCTCCGCATGTTGGCGTGTGGCGCCCCTCTCCAACTGCCATGCTAAAGCAACAACCACCGATCTATGCGGAGCTACCATCCGAGCCCAGCGGTTTCTCATTAGAAGGGCATAACACCCCGTGCGATCCACGTCAAGCTCCGCAAAAGCGTGCTTGAATGTGTGAGTGACTGTAGGTTGATCGTTTCTCAATTATTAATCTGTTGTTTTGTGGCGCGTGTTTTAGGGTAGCACGACGCGCGCAGCATAGCTTGCGCTAATTATCCCACTTAAAAGTCGACAACAGACGGGTAGCGTTAAGCAGAATAGAATGAACTTTGATCGAGGGAGGAGGTCTGCTTCTTAAAAGCCGTCGGCATAACTCCAAATTAATATTGGGTCAAATTATTGCTAAAGCAAAAGAAGGAAATGCTATCTAATGATACCGATAATGTAACCTCAACCCTGTGGTAGTAGAATGCAATTTTCGTCTCTTGAAAACATGTTAAAACAAATAATCCCCAATAGAATATTCAGACTCGTTGTCTAGTTGTTTAGATGGAATCACGCAACTTATTCAAATTTTTTAATGATACGATTTTATGTTGCATAGAGGTGCGTATTCGAATTTGGGCTCAAGCGCATTCATTATCTACCACTAAACGGTCGGTAAAAAAAGTTCTTCCATTAAGCTGCTTGTCAATTATCTGCCTCCCCTCCCCCCCCTTTCGTCCGCGAAGAGGAGGGAAATGAAGGTGTGAATGGTCTCTTGCTTCTGAACGGAGGAAAAAAGCATAAGTGCCCATTTGACCACAGTGTTGATTATTATTCATGGTTGACAACGCTGGGCTTCACCCATTTAAATCGTAATCGTACTGTACAGTAATCGATATTAATCGATTCTAGGTGAGGCAGGCTGACTCAATAACAATCGATTATTTACAACGGAGTTAAATGGAGGACAAACGGTGTTGCCAGCTTGCGAGAATCGCCACTGCCACTAGAGAACGCTGAGGCGAAGTTGGAATAAATGAATTTATGAAACGAACGGGGGACCCCCTCTTTTAACAGACCGTCAAGAGCTTCAATGAAAGCTAAGGACTTATTTTTTTAATGCATGCGAATTATCTCGTGTGAGGAGATGCAAAAGTTTCCATGATCAGGATCGGTCATGATCGTGGAAGCTTTTGCATCTCCTCACACTGGCATCAACAAAACCGCGAAAATGGCAAATCTCAACATGGCGGTTTATGAGCCTTGACGGTCGATGAAGTGACGTCTCGAGCCAAAGTTCAGGCGATATGGGAAAAGGTCGAGCCGTACACCGCGCGTTGGGGAGATGGACAGCAATTGACTGTCGAAATCAAAGTCAATTTAATAACTATTCTGCCGTCGCGTCGTCTAAAAGAAGAATACCGTATGAGGTTCCGCGCGTTGTCAAATGTCCTCAAATACTCCACGAATTTTAAAAGAGAATTCCGTTTATTTTTCTTTCCGTTTTTTGGATGATACTAACTGTAGTTTGATCCAGAATGCCTGAAAGTTTCGAGGAAAGATTAGTATAACTTTTCTCAAAAATGAATATTTTACAGGGGTAAATTCGGCAACGTTGGAATGCACTTACGACGTTCTTCCCCGGAAAGGCAGCAATGCATGTTGGAGCACGACGATCTAAGTTTTATCGTCGCTCTTATCATCGTCCCTCCTCTCAACTGGGTTATCTTTTAATTTTGCTTCACTACTGTTTCGAGCTCCAAGGAGCCGCTGCTCCTCTCGTCGAGCTGGTCTTTATTCTCCGCTCTTTTCATGTTTTCACCTTGTTGTCGTCGCGGCTTATGTAATTTCCACCGCCGTGTTATCTCGAGAGGAACGATCCCGCAGCAGCGCCGTTCGATTTTGATCCGTGACTAATCGGCGCTACGGAGCGTTTCTTTTTGATCCGGACACGGCCTCTATTCCGCGAGAGCTCGTAGTCTACCCGACGACGCAGTCGATTCCTGTGTAAACTCGCAAAACTATCGCGATGGACGACCGTTAGTGTCATTAGTGTGCGTGCCGTGTCCCATAACCTTAAATATTGCCCGGGAATTTGCATTCGAATAGGCGACGATAATCGCTCAAGTGAGGCGTGTAAAAATACAAATTACTAGTGTGTGTGCGTGGGTGTGAGCGTCGAACTCTGCTTCACTTCGACTGTGTGCGGAGAGGAGTCGCCGTCGTCGCAACACATCAAAACATCGGCGATGTGATCACGACATTTGGATTTCGACCTTCGTCGACGTCATGTTGAGAAAATGTGCGGAGTGATAACGTCATCGAAAAATTTTGACATGTGTGCGGGTCGTTTCAGTGAACGTTGCCTGAGCCTCGAGTGACAAGTCAGAGAGCGGTTTTTCGATCGGCCAATTAATGCGGAATCCTCGTAGCCGTTTCGCGTGCATTTTGCGTGACGTCAGACCGTGACGTGACGAAAAACAATACTCCGGTTACAACTTTAAAATTGTCAAAGTTACCTTGATTTAACTCATCTCTACGGTGCGAAATTGTTGAACCTTTGCTTTGCAACTTTTGAGGATCAAAATTTCATTTTTTAGCCTTTTTTCATAAGTAATCAATTTTAGTTGCTGATCGTTAAATCTGTTCGTTTTTTACTGTTTTTAAAACCTTCTGGCTCAAAAATAAATATCAAAAGTTTGAAGAGTGTTTGATTGGAATTCAAAGGCTTCAAAATGTTGAAGGTTTTCTCGGACGTGGCGAAGAACGTGCGGCTGAAGCCGAAGGATATAAGTATCGACAATCTGGGCTTCAAACTTCACTACCGTTTTACCTTCGGGATCCTAGTGGTTTGCTGCGTTCTGGTTTGCAGTCGTCAGTACATCGGCGAGCACATCCGGTGCATAACGCACAATGTCCCAGGGCACGTCATCGATACTTACTGCTTCGTACTGGGGACTTTCACCGTTCCCACTTTCGAGAACAAGACGACGAACGCAGTATCGGATCTCTACGCTCACCCCGGAGTCGGCCCTGCCGGACCTCACGCCTCCGAGGAGGACTACATCATGGCCCACCTGTACTACCAATGGATCCCTTTCCTGCTTTTTGGGNTTTCGGCGGAAGATGAAACAGAATAGGGAAATCGCATCCCCCAACGGGAGCACCTTATCCCTCTTCAGCTGCGTTGTCGAGTTGAAGCCCCCGGAGCACATCCCCCGGGAACTCTTTCGAAAGCGAGAGTGGGTTCTTCGAATCTTGCAACTTTGCACCCGGGTTTGTTTCCCCGACGAGTCACTACCGTAAAACACTCCAGTCCATTAAGTATCTGTTTATTAACATTTCGTGAAACCAATCCGGGAGCATAACCTAGATATCGCTTCAATTAACTCTAGTTGATTTCTTCTGCGAATCTGTTTCCTTTTCCCCTCTCTTTTCCTCTCCGAGGAGGTTAGGTTGGGAAACAAACCACGGCACCCTCTTGTGTGCAGTCATGCAGCCGCTTCGGGGATTTTTTTCAGTGGTTCTCAAAACTTGAGTTTTCGTGCTACATGCAATACTCCCGATGTTGATCGTTGCAAAAATCGCAAATAAAAAATTCAAAGTGCTCGTTTAAGGTCGTTCCTTACGTAGTTCCTTCCCTGATACAGCTACTTTCCATAAAGACGTTCCATACCGATGGCTAAATGCGGAAAATGCGTACCTCAATTGGACTACATTTTGCAATTTGGAACTACGAATTCCAGCCCGGTTTAAAAACAACGTATGTGTCATTCGTTTCCAAAAGCACATAAGTGTTTTTCCAAAAGAGCCAGAATTTATAGTTCCAAATTGCAATATGCAGTCCAATTTTTTTTATCGAGTCATTAATACAAATGTAGGAGGAGTATAGGACAGTGTATACAGTATAGTATACATCATATACAGAGTATAGGACTCAACACGGAAAAAAATTATATGTTGATATTACATTTATATTGTTAAAAACATGTCCGACAAGTTTCAAATGCTGATTTTACATTTGCAGAAATGTTAACTTAACTACGCCCACTGTAAAACGAACAAATTCAAATGTATTTTAGTATTTTTGTATTGTAAAATTAGCATTTGAAACTTGACGGGCATTTTTTTAACAATTTAAATGCTAAATCAGCATTTAATTTTTTTCCGTGAAATAAGCGCACCGATGTGTTTAGAGGAGGACTCTTTTCTTAAACTTATTGCTTCCTTGTCACTTAATCACCTTTGCGCCGCAACAGTTAGTTTGGACTTTGGAGCATGTTTGGAACCACTTACGTCACTCTGAACGAGGAGCACGCTCGCGGAGTCGAGGTGGTTGCCTACCCACTGCGGGTGCAGGCGCGAGCTCGGAGAGAAAAAAATCTTCCCGTGAAATCTTAGCCTCTTATTAAAAATGGAAAATATAATTGTGTCAACGAAGCAGCTCCGATAATTGGCGCGTATTTTCCTCTCTCTGAGGAGGTGAGCCTCTCGCTCCTTGCGCCCTTTCCACGTCGCGTCGCGTCGCATGAAAGCAAAGCGAGGCAATGCGACTCATTCACATGCGCTGTTTATGCTTGACAGGGGATTGTGTTGATAATTACAAATTACGGGCTGAGGAACAGATTAAGTGCAATGCTCGCAAAGACGAGCTCCAACCGCATCGCGACCCCCCGGGGCCCACGGCCTCCGCGCTGCTTGAAAGACGCGGAGTAAACTCAAGGGGGGCGCTTATTGGCGCCTCCCCCCCCCCCCCCCCCGCTATAGCGAATTCGTCTGCGTTTCCAATGTGCGCTTCAATTAACCATACTTACGATCCAACGTGGGGAATATTTTTCAGCACCTGCAATTACAATCCTTCATACTTTCCTGTCGAAGAAATGAAAATCAGAACTGTGATGTTGTATATCTTCGATGAATTATACAAGAAAATCAGTGCTCCCATTTCCCGAACTAGTTTCGAATTCCGGAACCTTTGAGATTTTCCTAAGTTTTTACCGGAATTTTTAAAATTCCTGAAATGTTCCGGATCTTTTGCGTTTTTTAGAAATTTCTCGGAACTTTTGAAAAAAGCCGAAAGGAATCCCGGAACTTTCGACAGTCACGGAGTGGGAGAAATTGGGGGGAAAAGTTCCGAATCCCGGGACTTTTGACGGACATGGAATGGGAGCATTCGGGGCCGGGTTAAGGGGGTGGCCACGGCCAATGGCGGCAAAATGTAGGGGGCGGCAAATTTTGCAATCTTTTTGAATGTAGGTATCAGAAAAAGAGAGAAAAAAATCGGATTGATAAAATAAATTACAATAAAGAAAACGCGACAAAATCTCTCATTTCCTGAGAGTAAAAAGAGTAATTTCTAATTTTGTCGTCTTTCGGTGATACAAGAGACAACATCTTTAATTAGTCGAGTTAAGAGAGAAACCAAACACGCAGTTTGACCTGGAACGGAGCGGCGCAGCGCGGCGCGGCGGTCGGCATGAAACGTATAGCGCCTACAAGACTGCGTGAAGACTTCACGCATTGCGTCAATCACACTGCGGTCAGCAGCGGTCGGCGCGTGAAACGCATAGCGCCTACAAGACTGCATGAATACTTCACGCATTGCGCCAACACAGTGCGGTCGGCGCAGCGGCGGAAGTTAAAATTATTAACCACATTTATGTTTGTTCTTTCAAAATTTGTTCGTTCGTTTTTTTTAAATGGAAGGCCTTGTCCAAACAGGTATGGGTTTACGGAACTGAACTTTTGTCAGTGTTAACAAGGCTTTCACATAAAATGTGCCCAACACGAGTAAACGCGTCTCATACACCCCCCACCGGCACGTTCACTTGATGGTTTTTATAGATCGTATTCGACCTTCGTATTAGTTCCTAAACGAACATTCACCTTGAAATTTTCGCCGTGCCATTAAACACAGAATGATCAAAATTTTAACTCTTAAATAAATTATGAGCATTTGAAGAGGAAAGAAAAAAGAGAGTTTGTAGCTTTGACGATTAATTCCCTCCAAAATATTGAAAATTCGTGAGCTCTTCGTCCTAAATTTACAAAATTTTGTAAACTCTCAGAAATTGACTATATACCCTGATTTGACTAATTGCCTGCGACTGATATAAACTTATCATGGGGTCATTAACTCAGGAACTACACGAGTAAAGAGCATAAATCGCATGGGGTAGCGGGACGGGTAGCCCGCGCCGCGCCGCATGTTGGCGTGTGGCGCCCCTCTCCAACTGCCATGCTAAAGCAACAACCACCGATCTATGCGGAGCTACCATCCGAGCCCAGTGGTTTCTCATTAGAAGGGCATAACACCCTGTGCGATCTACGTCAAGCTCCGCAAAAGCGTGCGTGATTGTGTGAGTGACTGTAGGTTGATCGTTTCTCAATTATTAATCTGTTGTTTTGTGGCGCGTGTTTTAGGGTAGCACGACGCGCGCAGCATCGCTTGCGCTAATTATCCCACTTAAAAGTCGACAACAGACGGGTAGCGTTAAGCAGAATAGAATGAACTTTGATCGAGGGAGGAGGTCTGCTTGTTAAAAGCCGTTGGCATAACTCCAAATTAATATCGGGTCTCTCCCAAATTATTGCTAAAGCAAAAGAAGGAAATACTATCTAATGATACCGATAATGTAACCGCAACCCTGTAGTAGCAGAGTGCAATTTTCATCATTTGAAAACATGTTTTAAAAAAAAAAGATCCCGATTCAGATCAGAATCCGATCAGAAATTATACGATTTTATGTTGCATACAGGTGGAATTCGAATTTGTGCTTGAGCGCATTCATTGTTTACCACTAAACGGTCGGTAAAAAAGTTCTTCCCTTAGGCTGCTTGTCAATTATCTGCCTCCCCCCCCCTCCCCGTTCTTCCGAGAAGAGGAAACGAATGATGGTGTGAATGGTCTCTTGCTTCTGAACGGAGGAAAAAATCAAAACTGCCCATTTTACTTTGACCATTAGACAGTGTTGATACATGGTTGACAACACTGGGCTTCACCCATTTAAATCGTAATCGTATTGTACAGTAATCGATATTAATCGATTCTAGGAGAGGCAGGCTGACTCAACAACAATCGATTATTTACAACGGAGTTAAATGGAGGACAAACAGGGTTGCCAGCTTGCGAGAATCGCCACTGCGACTAGAGAAAACTGAGGCGAAGTGGGAATAAATGAATTTATGAAACGAACAGGGGTCCCCCTCTTTTAATAGGCCGTTAAGAGCTTCAATGAAAGCTAAGGATTTATTTTTTAATACGTGCGAATTATCTCGTGTGAGGAGATGCAAAAGTTTCCATGATCAGGATCGGTCATGATCGTGGAAGCTTTTGCATCTCCTCACACTGGCATCAACAAAACCGCGAAAATGGCAAATCTCAACATGGCAGTTTATGAGCCTTGACGGTCGATGAAGTGACGTCTCGAGCCAAAGTTCAGGCGATATGGGAAAAGGTCGAGCCGTACACCGCGCGTTGGGGAGATGGACAGCAATTGACTGTCGAAATCAAAGTCAATTTAATAACTATTCTGCCGTCGCGTCGTCTAAAAGAAGAATACCGTATGAGGTTCCGCGCGTTGTCAAATGTCCTCAAATACTCCACGAATTTTAAAAGAGAATTCCGTTTATTTTTCTTTCCGTTTTTTGGATGATACTAACTGTAGTTTGATCCAGAATGCCTGAAAGTTTCGAGGAAAGATTAGTATAACTTTTCTCAAAAATGAATATTTTACAGGGGTAAATTCGGCAACGTTGGAATGCACTTACGACGTTCTTCCCCGGAAAGGCAGCAATGCATGTTGGAGCACGACGATCTAAGTTTTATCGTCGCTCTTATCATCGTCCCTCCTCTCAACTGGGTTATCTTTTAATTTTGCTTCACTACTGTTTCGAGCTCCAAGGAGCCGCTGCTCCTCTCGTCGAGCTGGTCTTTATTCTCCGCTCTTTTCATGTTTTCACCTTGTTGTCGTCGCGGCTTATGTAATTTCCACCGCCGTGTTATCTCGAGAGGAACGATCCCGCAGCAGCGCCGTTCGATTTTGATCCGTGACTAATCGGCGCTACGGAGCGTTTCTTTTTGATCCGGACACGGCCTCTATTCCGCGAGAGCTCGTAGTCTACCCGACGACGCAGTCGATTCCTGTGTAAACTCGCAAAACTATCGCGATGGACGACCGTTAGTGTCATTAGTGTGCGTGCCGTGTCCCATAACCTTAAATATTGCCCGGGAATTTGCATTCGAATAGGCGACGATAATCGCTCAAGTGAGGCGTGTAAAAATACAAATTACTAGTGTGTGTGCGTGGGTGTGAGCGTCGAACTCTGCTTCACTTCGACTGTGTGCGGAGAGGAGTCGCCGTCGTCGCAACACATCAAAACATCGGCGATGTGATCACGACATTTGGATTTCGACCTTCGTCGACGTCATGTTGAGAAAATGTGCGGAGTGATAACGTCATCGAAAAATTTTGACATGTGTGCGGGTCGTTTCAGTGAACGTTGCCTGAGCCTCGAGTGACAAGTCAGAGAGCGGTTTTTCGATCGGCCAATTAATGCGGAATCCTCGTAGCCGTTTCGCGTGCATTTTGCGTGACGTCAGACCGTGACGTGACGAAAAACAATACTCCGGTTACAACTTTAAAATTGTCAAAGTTACCTTGATTTAACTCATCTCTACGGTGCGAAATTGTTGAACCTTTGCTTTGCAACTTTTGAGGATCAAAATTTCATTTTTTAGCCTTTTTTCATAAGTAATCAATTTTAGTTGCTGATCGTTAAATCTGTTCGTTTTTTACTGTTTTTAAAACCTTCTGGCTCAAAAATAAATATCAAAAGTTTGAAGAGTGTTTGATTGGAATTCAAAGGCTTCAAAATGTTGAAGGTTTTCTCGGACGTGGCGAAGAACGTGCGGCTGAAGCCGAAGGATATAAGTATCGACAATCTGGGCTTCAAACTTCACTACCGTTTTACCTTCGGGATCCTAGTGGTTTGCTGCGTTCTGGTTTGCAGTCGTCAGTACATCGGCGAGCACATCCGGTGCATAACGCACAATGTCCCAGGGCACGTCATCGATACTTACTGCTTCGTACTGGGGACTTTCACCGTTCCCACTTTCGAGAACAAGACGACGAACGCAGTATCGGATCTCTACGCTCACCCCGGAGTCGGCCCTGCCGGACCTCACGCCTCCGAGGAGGACTACATCATGGCCCACCTGTACTACCAATGGATCCCTTTCCTGCTTTTTGGGCAAGCGCTACTTTTTTATCTACCTCATTTCATTTGGAAAAATCACGAGGGGAGCCGTCTCTACGCCCTGTGCGATGGATTCCAGAAAGCTGTCTTCGTCCTGAAGCTCGACTCGACTCGGTCCGCTGAAAAAGTCGAGTCTCTGAGGAAACATTTCCAAGCCCTGAAAAGGTTCAAAGTGAATCGTGACTGGGGTCGAGTCCTAGTGATGTGCGAATGGCTCAACCTGTTCAATGTCATTTTGCAGTTTTACCTAACCAATTGGTATCTCGGCGGTAATTTCTTGACCCTTGGCTTGAGATTGTACGACGGGAATTATGATGAAATCTTCGATAAAATGTTTCCCAAAGTTGCCAAGTGCACATTCCACCAATACGGTCCGTCGGGGACCCTCCAGAGCTTCGACTCGCTCTGCGTCCTCGCTCTCAACATCATCAATGAGAAAATTTACCTCTTTTTATGGTTCTGGTTCGCGCTCATGTTGGTAGTGTCTGTTGTTTCCATATTTTGGAGGCTACTCACATGCTGCCTGCTGTCCAGGAGCACCGATTTCAATCAGTTGCTCCTGTGGGAAACCTCCCCCGGCTCCAGGTTGGACCGGCATGATGTTGCTGTCATCACGAAGGAATCCTCGTTTTATGACTGGCTCTTCCTCTATTACATAGGCAAGAATTTGAAAGGGGCCTTGTTCAGGGAGTTGCTCCACGAGTTGGCTGCGGATTTCGAGAAAGAGCGGGCGGACCCTGTTTACGTGCAACCATTAAAGACTGAATGATTTTGAAGCAAAGGATCTCCATCCAAAAGACATTTATTTTAAATTTTTGGTCTCTTCCAAAAGATCTGTTGATATTTATTAAAATGTTTTAGGTTCAACAAATAATTTATTGTGTATCTCCCCCTTTTTCTAATATTTTTGAACAATTCTGTTGGCTGAACTGGAAAAAAAACACATTGGATCCAGAGTCCAGACTCTTAAAAACATCTACAAGAAAAAATACTCTTGATTCAATCGGATTTTTGCTTAAATCAAGAACCAAGCAGCCTCCTAATTTGAGCGGATTTCCTTTTGATTCAAGCAAAAATCTGATTGAATCGAGAGTATTTTTTCTTGTCAATGTTTTCAAGAGTCTTGACTCTAGATGCAATGTGTTTTTTTCCAATGTAGGCTCAGCAAATAATTTATTGTTTATCTCCCCCTTTTTCTAATATTTTTGAACTGTTGGCTGCATCTATAAGATAAGCAATATGAAAGGGACCTTGTTCAGATAATTAATTAACGAGTTAGCTACAGATTTTGAGATCGAACGTTCGAATCCTGTTCAGAGGCATCGTCAAATAAAGCGGACTGATTCAGAGGCGAAAGATCTGTGTCTTAAAGATATTTATTTTAAATCTTTGGGTTAAAAAAAGGGGGGGAATCTATGAATATTTTATAATTTGTTCTAGGCTCAACAATTAATTTAGGTATTGTTTACCCTCTGTCTTGCGCGTAGCTTGAACAGTACTGATGACCGACAGAAGAAAATAATCAACAGTGCTTCAAATCAAACTGTGAAAATTGCCGGAATTAGCATTACGTTGAGAAAAAAAAGTCGGTTTACACTGAACAGGCGAATACCGAACTTTTTCGGTTTTGGTAACCGAACAAGTTTGGTGTTCAATATGAACCGAAGTTCAGTATCTATTACCGAACTGGTTTTCTCAGAGTAATTTCTGACCGTAGTTTTAAGAGTTACTAATTTTAATTCTTGAAAATGATACTCATTTAAACCTAAGTACGCCTGTAAGAGAAATTCCAAGATTAGGTCTTTAAGTAACTCGTGGAGATCATCTGTCACTTTAAGATCCTAACACTTGACCTAAAAATGTTCAAAACGATTATATATTTGAATTTATTATCAATACACGTAGCATTATGGTCAACCATTCATGCGTAATCATAATCAAAAATCATCCTCAAGTGCTATTAATCTTAAAAAGACCATGACATCAGTCAATTTCTTTGAATCACAGCCTTTCCACAACCAAATTGATGTTATTTTCTGGATATATCTTCTAAAGTTGGTTGTAATAATTATAAGTACTTTCATTTTCGTTACAAAAATGACGTTATTTCCTTACCTATGTAATTTCTCTGTTAGAAGCACCCAGCCTAAACCATATCGACGGTGAAACTACCAAACCACGTATCTCGGTTTGCGACGTGGCAGACTTCCTGTCATACTTTATTTTTTAAATGAAAAACTACTTAACATCCAGTCTTGAAAATTTCTGTGATTTTTCCTCTTTGTGCGGAGAAAATTCCGTGAAAATTTCAAGGAATGATATTGATTTGGTCTACTTCAAAAAAATAAAATGTGAGCGTAGATTTTTAAACACCGCAAACGAGGTACGTGGTTTGGTAGTTTCACCGTCGATATGTGAATTAGTGGGGAAAAAAACACACCAACTCGGGGTTTTTTAGATTTTTATTTACTTTTTACAATTTAGTAACAGTTAGGTATGGATATATGCGTCTGTGCGCAAAAGAAATTTCGAAATTGCAATTGGAAGCGCTCGAAACTGCAACGGGAAAAGGTCGGTGTGAACGAAATAAACCCTACTATTAGGCCTTTCTTCATCATTTGAGGGAGGGGGGAGGGTACGTTGGACTTTTTTAGGGCCGATAGGGCACATAACACTTTTCTAATGTACATAATGCCTTCAACGAAAAGTCTTGACAGGAAAAAGCGCTGAAAAGAGAGAATCATGAGGGACTTTATTGAACATACCGATTTTTGGCCTTTCAAGGAAAGCAGGTGGCCATCCAATTTCGTGTTTTTTTTCGGTGCGATGTACCGTTTGTCAACAAGTTATAAAATTACTGTAAGATTACATGCCGAAAAATGTAAATTTTAAAGGGCAATCTATCTATGAAAAATCATTGTCCTCATGTCGGTGAGAAAGAAAATGCAGCAACTCGGGAACTTTTTAACACCTAATTCTCTATCATTTAACATGGCGCATCAATTACATCTTGATCCTTTACATTGTCACCAATTATACTTGTCCTTCAGCACTGAAGAACTTTTTTCTTTAACTTACATCTTCGCCCAAACTGCTCTGCGACACAAAAGTGTCTCTTGAACATTTTTCTTTCCCCAAGTTGGTGTGTTTTCGTTCTCACTGATTCATGAACTCTTCAGATAAATGGAGAGAGAAGGAGAGGTCGTCACCCTCCAGGCAAAGTATCACAAGCGCCATACGACGTTCCAAAATTTCTGCCGCCATTTTATTTTTTTACAGAGAAATTGTTGGTTGAGTCTGTTCGGAAATTTCACTGAATCTCATCGGCAGCACAAAGAAAATTCAGTGAAATTTTCGGACAGCTTCGTTGAACAATTTCTCAGTATAAAATAAAATGGCGGCGGGAATTTTGAAACGTCGCATGGCACTTGTGATTCTTTGCCCGGCGGGTGACGAGGTATAAGTTGACAATGCCCTATCCTCAACTATGTGTTCAAATATCATCAACTTATTTCGAAATTAAATCTTCGGAAAGTGAAATCATACTCCTATAGTTGTGTAAATCATATCCAATGGATTGGATTTACCTAATTGCAATTGGTTATTTTCAATTGAACGAAGAAAATTGTACTTAAATGAGGTTAGTACCTACAATCCGATTAACTGAGTAGATTATTATGCCATAGAACTATGAATTATAAGATTATCTCGTCAAGAGGAGCGATCTATTTTTAGAGATTTTTTTTATCGTATTTAAACTTATCACACTTCTGTTTTTATGATTACGTTCGTTTTCAGAGATTTAAAACCAAAGTCAACAGGAGAAAATTGCAAGTTGCCGGAGCGTCGGGCAGCTCGACTATTTAATCTACAACGATAAGACAACACCAAGCCCGATCCCAACCATGCAACATATATCGATGACACAAGTCAGAGAGTGCGCTTCTCCAAAGGTCCAGTTACACGATCAAATTGAGTCAGTTGCGCTGGTCTCAGAATCGTGTTTTGATGCTTGTTTCTTGTAGATTAGCTATAAGTAAGAAGATTTATCCCAACAGCAACGCTCTACGTTCAACATTAACCGAGATATCGCGCTTAGAAAAATTCAGTTTATGACGTCATCCACCGTAGTAGTGACACCCTTTCATCCAAGTTTCACGTTGAGTAACCAGTGCAAATGTGTGTCCTCCTGACGGATGAAAGCAAGGGGAAAGACATACAGAGAGTCACTCACTAACGCGGTGAATGACGTCAAAAACCCGACTTTTTAAAGGGTGATATCTCGGTTGACATTGAACGTTAAAAATTACTGCTAGAGCGGATCTTATTATTTTTAGCTAATCTACAAGAATAAAGCATCAAAACACGATTCTATGACCAGCGCAATTGACCAATTGCGACGTTGTAAATTTCCGCTCGAGTTTCAGATTTTTAAAAGAAATCGTTTCCCTAGAAATTTTTTGTGAATTTTCCTCACTCATGCAGTATATTCACAGAAAACCCCAAACAAATGTTTGATTCGTTTTCTTTTCAAAAAATTGTGCATAATCGGAGATTTTGCAACATTGCAATGCTGATACGCATTTTCCGACTTTTGCAACCGATATCGCATTTCGACGTCTTATCGTGCTGCCGTAAACTTTGACTAAACTTTGGCTGCTCTGCCGTGCTAAGGAAAACGCCGTATCAGCATTCGAATGTTGCCAAATTGTCTCTCGGAAAATATTTATTTTTGAAGAACTTAATGAATATTTTTCTTAGAAATTTTCAGATACATCGGATCCAATTCCGAACGAAACTCCCTGACAAATCGGAAGAAAAATATAGACAAATGTTCCCCAAAATGCATGCCTTGCTGTAGGAGATTTGGCAAAGGCTCATACGGCGTTCTTCCTTAGCGCGGCAGTGCTGGTGACTGGTCTCGCGTCGCGCCACCGCTGCACTTGCCAGTGATAGACAGGAACGAGGAAGGGTTGAGGCTGAAACAATAGGGCGGTAGCGGATACGGATATGGAGGTTTGATGAGTGCGATCCGTTGTTCCTCGACGGCGACACGAGCACCCGCGAGGGAGGGGGGGCAGAGAGGGGTTGTCGCCGTAATGATAGACACGAAGCGTGCCGTCTATAATAAAACGCTCTCTTTGTTGGACTTATTTGATCTTGTCATAATGGGACAAGGGACCGGAACCTGGTCCAGCGGCAGCATCCCGTGGCAGCTCGTCACAATATTTACCTTCGTCCGAAGAAGTTCCCAACGCTGTTGCCAGATTCTCATAAATGAAGACATCGCTGCCGTGATAGCTACAAAAGCAGTAAGTGTCAAATCTTCGAAATACACTGGAAAAAAAAATACAATGGATCTAGAGTCCAGACTCCTGAAAACATTGACAAGAAAAAATACTTTTGATTCAATCGGATTTTTGCTTGAATCAAAACAAAATCCGCTTAAATTGAGAGGCTTGGTTCTTGATTTAAGCTAGATTCTGATTGAATCAAGAGTACTTTTTCTTGCCGATGTTTTTAAGAGTCTGGACTCTAGATCCAATATGTTTTTTTCCCCCAGTGTAGAGTCCCCTTCAAAATTCGTCCGATCTCTTTAAAATGAAATCACTGAAAAAAAACAGCAAAATTTATCTTAATTGTATCTAAACGAGACATGCGAGGAAGACGTAAGTGCGCAAAAAATGACGCAGTTTCAAGCAAGACGGCAGTTAGTGACATAATTCCTCCAGGGAGCCGATAAAAGCAGTGCTTTCAAGTAAAATGCCGCCCTCTTCTGCGAATAGAGAATTTGTAGGTGTCTGAAATTTGATGAATTTTGTGTATAAGCAGAAACTACTGAGTGAACTGAATACAAGGATACCCTTGGTTTAA